TGAAGAACTGTGTCTTGTTAATCTGCCTTGGGACTGCTGGACTAAACCTAGATTTGCATTGTGTGATATTACTTGCCTCCTCCACTCTCCAACCTATTTCCCTAACAAATTCCTCAAGTGTGAGTAGTCTGTGAGTCTTGCAATGAACATTAGACCTAATGATTTGTAGGAAAAGGTGCAGGAGTATGGGGATGGTATGTTGGGTCTTATAGTTATTTCTATGGTACTACGCTAGGGACAGTTCCCCTTTATGAGGCGGAGAGAAGTCACACTTGGCCACCCTTACATTTTATCTGCTCTAAAACATTTAATTATTTTTTAGCAATAAACCAAAAACCAAACCCACTGTTATCCAGTAGGGAGTCTAACCCCTCCATGAATTAGGCTTCTGAGGCTAACAGAAGGAGGTGGCCTATCTTCTTCCCTAAAGGAAGATTCAGCTGGTGGATTCAACCTGTTAAACACTCAAGCAACAGCCCAACATGTAAGGCAGTGTGCTACCATGGCATTAATTAAATCAACTTAAAAATCATTTTGGACAAACCCAAATGAATGGATGTGACTGAATAATAGATAGATCAGTAGATAGATTGTAATGTCTCACAGAGTTGTTTTTGTTAGGTGCCATCAAATATGACCCATAGAGACCCTATTATTAGTAATACAGAACCCTGTCCTATCCTGTGCCGTCCTCACACTTCCTGACACATTAGCGCCACTGCAGTATTCACCATGTCAAGCCACCTTGTCAAGGGTCTTTCTCTCCTTCACTGATCCTCTCTCTTCCTGAGCATCGTGTTTCTCTCTTCAAGGAACAGCCCACCTTGTAACATGCCCAAAGTGTGTGAGGTGAAGACTCATCATCTTTGCCTCCACAGAGCAATCGTCCGCACCCTCTCCAAAACATACTTGTTTGATCTTCTTGGCAGTCTATGAGCTGTTTAGAACTCATCTCCAATACCACAGCTCAAAGGCATCAATTCTTCTTCTGCCATCTTTTTTAACTCCCCAGCTCTCAGATGCATAGCAAGTGATTTGAGAGATCATGGCCTAAATCAAATGCACCTTAGTCTTCAAATTCACATCATTACTCCTCAAAAACATGGAAAGGTACCTAACTGCAGATTTTTCCAGTGCAATGCATCTCCTTATTTCCTGACTGCTGGCACCAAGGGTGTTAACTGTGGTAGGAACTATATAAATGTTCCTACTATTGTGGTACTGTTCTAGTGTTGATGTCACGTGCTGCCCAGCAGTCTCGGTCTCACAGTGACCCTCTATGTACAACAAAAAGAAGCCGTGCCTGATTCTGCACCATTCTCACAATCTCTTCTGTGCTCAAGGCCACGGCTGCCACCATTGAGGGTCTTCCTCTTCTTCACTGACCCTCCACTTATTCAAGCATGCTCTTCTCCAGGCCCCTCCTGATAACATGTCCAAAAGTATATGAGATGAAGTTTCAGCATCCTTTGCCTCTATGGACCATGTTGGCTTCAATTCCTCCCAACTAGATTTGTTCAATCTTTTGTCAATCCATGTTATTTTATTATTATTTTTTATTGATGATGATTATTATCATTATTTTTATTATTAATTTTGATTATGATGATGATGATGATGATATGTGTTTACCGTCAAGTCAGTTCTGACTGGTACAGGAGGAGATTGCCCCTCCTTCTCCAGCAGTGCATCTGGTGGATTCAAACCACATATTGCAGTGCAGCTTCCTGCCACTAGGCCACCAAAGCTCCCTAGCCAATGTTATTTTCAATTTCTTCTCCAACACCACACTTCAAAAGCATCAGTGCTTCTCCAGTCTTCCTTCTTCACTATCCATCCTACATATGCATATGAAGAGACTTGAAAGCCATTACTTAGGGCAAGCACAGCTGAGTCTTTCAACTAACATCTTCAGTACTTTAAAGAAGCCCTTGACAGCAAATTTGCCCAGTGCAATACAATATCTACTTCTTGACTGCTGCATCTACAGGTGCCGATTGTGGATCAAACTAAAATAAAAATCTGGACAACCTTCAGTATTTTCTCCATTTCATCAAGACTTATCCTTTAATATAGGATTCCCACACTGGGAATGGAGCCCAAATGGGAAATGCAATTCAACAAAAAATAGCAAACATTCATGTATTTGAATAGATACATACAAAACTACATTTAAAAACCCTTTATATGAAGCAAACAACAAACTCTACAGAGCACTAAACATTACTGATAACAGGAAATGTTGGAGGAGAGGTGATGCTGGGAAGAGATATGTGGGAAAAGCAAGGGGGGAAAAGGAAAACCAACTAAAACTGGGCAAAGGAAGAATCAATCAAAATTAGTGGATCAATAAATAGGTAGATCACAGAACACACCTGCCCACAGAGTAGAATAACAGCAATAAGGAGCTAGCAGTATAAGTTCTTCAGGAATATAAGGAGCCTTGGAAGAATTTTGAGGAGGAAGTGGCCAGAGAGAAAAACGAAGCCAAAGCCCCTGGCATCAGGTGGATTCCAACTCACGGTGACTCTGTATGATAGAGAACTGTCTGTCCTCTCAGGCTCCCAAGGCTCTAAATTTTATGGAAGCAGACGGCTTCATTTTTCTCAAAAAGAACTGCTTTTTCACACAATGGAATACTATGCAGCACTGAAAAACAAGGAACTCATAAAATGTTATGCAAAATGGATGACCCTGGAGGACCTTATGCTGAGTGAAATATCTCAGTCACAAAAAGACAAATATTGTATAGGGCCACTGTTATAAAATGGGACTGACATCAGGGTTGAGGAAAGAAAGAGAAGGAGGGGAGGAATGATGTATACGGCATTGAAACAGATAAAGGAGGGAACTGTTTAAAAGGGATATATGATTGGGTATTATTGTCATGACAGGAGTCCAGAAAGAAGGCTGCACAGTACAGTGAACTTGAGGGAAGGGATTGCATAACAATGAAGGAGTTTTTCTTTTACTTTTCAAGGAGAAGAGTGAATTTGGGGAGAGGGAGTGGGCCGGGGAGGGGGGGGGAGGTGCAGCAATGAATGAATGGAAACCCTAAGTCTCTGTAAGCTTTAATTAAAACTAATTTTAAAAAAAACAAAACCTGCTAGCCATTGAGCTATCAGCTTAATGGTTAATCACTGCACCAGCTTAATCCTTAAGCAAACTTCATTTCTCAGGAGATTTCTGTTGAATACTTTTGCATATCAGAAAAAAGAATTTCTATTAAGTACTTAATGTATATTACCTATTTTTTAAATATTATCTGTATTAGTAATACAGATTTTTAAAAAACAAACTTGTTTTTAAAAGAAACAAAACAAAACACCTCTCAGTATTCTCAAGAAGCAAAAAAAACTCTGGAAGGTGACATGTTCAAGACCCTGCCCAGGGCCAGGAGAGCAGAGCTCTGTTCCTGGGACTGTTCCCACTGGGCAAGGCACACACCCTGCGCTAAATCTCCTCTTCCACACAGGAAGGAAGTTTAAGCAGGTCTTCTTTAAAGCCCTTAACATTTACAAAATGTGCTTAATTCTATAATTAGAAAAGAGAATGGAGAAAAGTGATACACAATAGGAATGATTATTTATTTTAAAAGACGTACACTTCAAAGTCGCCTTTTTAACTAAGTAAGAAACTTAAGGATCCATTTAAAAAAAGAAAAAGAAAACAGTGCCTTTTAAGAAATGAAATCAACATCAATTAGTGATTTTATATTCCCAAAGAGTAAGATTTAACTACCCAGTGCTTTTATTTTCACATTAAAAACAAGTTAAACTTTCAGATATTTTTCACACCAGTCACTATTTTAAATAATAATAAAATAAAATCAACACCACTGCCATAGAGTCAGTTAAGATTTATAACCTGCTACGCTAAAACAGTGCCATCCAAGAAAAAAGCTTGCTGCCATCCTGTCCCAACCTCCTCAGAGCTGACTCTCCAGGGGGGTTTCTGAGGCTGTAAATCCAGTGAGGGGAGACTGCCCATCTTTCTCCTGGGACCCTGCTGGTGAATTCCCACAGTGTTAGCTGTGCAATCCACTACCCATGAGGCCAGCAAACAGCACAAAACAACCCCCCCCACCCCGTATGCGAAAAGAGGTTGACCAACATCCGCCAGCAGCTAAGCCAATAAATTTCATGTTAAAACTTCCAATGGAACATTTTCAATATCAATTAACAGCCAAAATAAAGAATTTTTTAAAATCCATTCAAGTATGGCAGCTTCCCTTCCAAAAGCAATTTTTCAAAGTATGAATTTTTAGATTTGCCTCCTAAATGTTATAAATATTAATGTTATTAATAACATTATGCATAGCACTTTCTGGAAAGGTACGCCTGGGCCTATAGCATTGAAAGTCACTAGTTCATAATGCATACCTAAAGATTTCCACCAGCTTGTTAAATTTTATGTATCTTATTTCCTTAAATGGTTATGGGATTTTTCCAAGAGCAGACAGAAAATTCCCTTAAACTTTGCCAACTTAGAAAGTGTTACATGAAAACCACCTTTTCTGCCTTTGGAATCTCTAGAACAATCTACCCAATCTTTCCATAGGATGTCTAAGCAGGAACCCTCAAAGCACACGGAGCGGGCTGGCTCCACCCACATCTACCGCCTAAGAAGATGGGAAGAAGGTATTCACCGCTGCAGTTATCTGAACTTCCTGAAAGCAAGCCGTTTCCTAAGTATGCCATGATTTTGTTTTTTAATCTACAAGCACAAACGCATGCATTTATTTATATCCTGAGATTAACTCCCAGTCTAATTTTACCGCCACTAGCATCTACTGGCGGATTTCTTTTTTTCTAATTACAAATGGAACTTGAGCTACATCAAAGGCATTTTCAGGAGGTCAAAACTGACTTCGCTGAGAAATGGAGGGTGTGATCCCATGTAATTAATTAGTGCTTAGCCATGCCCTTTGGCGCATTATCTGGTGACTAACCCGGGCCAGCCGTCCCCACCTGTTGGTGCAGGGAGACTGTTGGACTTACCCAAAAAAGCAGATTGAGGGCATACAGCAGGCAGCGCAGGCACTTCACCGAGTCTTCTCTGGCCATTGTGAGCCTGGGGAGGGAGAAACCCCATCCTCTCACCACATCCTACTCCCACAGCTGAGATCTGCAGGGGACAACAGGCGACAGCTCACCGCAGCGCTCCCCAACCCAGCTCAGCACTCAACTGGGCCCCCAAATCCAAATTGGATCCCGACTCACAGCCACCCTAACACGCTAGGGAGAGCTGCCGCAGCGGGTCTCCAAGGTTATAAACCTTCATCGAAGCAGATTTGCACAGCTTTCTACCTGAGCGGCAGGTGGACCCTCCTGGGGTCCTCAGCCGGGTCCGGAGAGTCTCAAAGCCCAGTTCATTCGAGACATGTCTCATCAAAACCCATCCTGAGTGTCAAGAGTAACCGAAACTCCCCCAAAGTGCAGGCAGACCCAGGTAACACCTGCTGGGGAGAGAAAAGCCCGGATCCAGCTCAGGGCGAGCGGCAGGCGCGCAGCGGGCTCTGCTCTCCGGGGACGCGCGCCCATGTCCCCAGCATTCTGATGAGGGGCTCGGACACCCCACTCCACCCACTCCCTCCTCGGGGTCAGCAAGGCTCAGAACTGCCCCGCAAGCTAGAAAGCAGACAGTGCCTCCCCGGACACGTCAGAGGTATCACCGGGGAGACCCCGGCCCCTCGCCCCGCGCGCCCCGCGCCCCTCACCCCGTCCCGCGGCCGAGGCTCCGCC